CTAAATGTTCTTACTACCACAAATGAGTTTAGCAAGAAATTTTTAAAAATCTATCATTTTAATGGCAGATACAATTTTAATTACAAATTGTTACATCCTTATATATATTTATATAAACTACAAAAATAAACGATGGCCTTCTTAAATGCAAAGTGTTCATTACAAGGATCATCAGTTCATTTTATTAATCTATTTTTACTGGGGGGGAAAAGAAACATCATTTAAACGCTTACCTTAATATCTTAAGAATCTTTTCTAAATACTTAACATCAGTGCATTTTTCAATGAATTTGTAGTCCAGATGGTCAATAGGAATTTTGTATGTTTTCGTCCTTTCATGGCCCAACCAGGATGACATTTGACCAGCACTTATAGCTACAAAGATAGAATTTAATTATTTCCAAAATATTTTCTCAATGTTATTTATGAAATTGCCCAAGTTATAAAATAAAATGCTATAAATCTGGCCAAGATTTTTGGAAACTATTTTCAAATATAGAAGAAAGGTGTCAGTCTCAACCTTAATTTGGACCTGGATCAACACCTGTATATAACCCTTTGGCATCCGTAGTTCCAGTGCTTTTTTTGTAAAAAAAAAAAAAAAAAAAAAGGTGCCGGAACTCACACACGTCATACAACCTGCCTTGCCTACCCTACAAGGTTCCATCCAAAAAAGGTGCCAGAACTCCGTTCTGGGCATTCTATGACAAAAAAAGCATTCTATATTTGAGACATTTTCTTGATGTTCTCACAAAAATGCTGCTGTATAGATGTGATTAATCATAAACAACCATTTATCAATCAAGGAAAACAGGTGAGACTGCTCCATATTCCACTCTAAATATTTTCTACGACTCCAAGTTATTTCCAGCTTTTATTCTGGGCATACTGTCAAGCAAAACTGCATATTTTATTCAAATATTTTCAAGGAAGCCTATGTGGCCCTTAATGATACTGTAATAAATAAAGACAACGCCAATTCCAGATTCTTTTGCTTCACATTATGTTTTCTCATTTATTTTTAATTAAAACAAAATTTAAATAAAATAATATGAGCAGGAAAAGAGAACACAGAGACACAGGACAAAATACTTTCAGTTTTCCTCATGGACCTCTTTTATACATGCCTTTTTATTTGAATTCAATCACATGGAACCATTTCTGGGACTAGACCCATATTGATTTATGCTCAGCACTTAATAGAAAGAACTCACCCCCCAAAAAATAATAATCCAAAAGAAAGTAGAATGATAGGTTATTTGTTACCAACTTGCCTCTGTATTTCAAATAAGCCAGAATTAAATCAGGATATGATGCATTCTATTAAGGTAATACTGTATATGAACCATTCAAAGAGTCAAGTGTTGATGATGATAACCTGACTCTGATGGAGTTAAACACAGCATGTTGGATTTTATTCAAAAATAGACAATTAGACTATTGCTGATATTACAGGGTTCTTTTTCCTGAATCCCATAAATCTGATCTGAAGGGTCACTAAATCTTCTGGAGTAGATTTATGAATGGTCAGAAAAGAAATCTGTTCTATTGATAAAAGCACATCTTTTTCAGATCATATTGTATAATGAGAGATATTTAATAATTTTATCAAACAATTATTTTTAATACTATATTCTGCCTTAAGTTAAGCCCATGAGATGTTAGCAAACAAAGAACTGAAAATGAAAAACAGTCTTATAAATTCATTTTTGCTGTTTACAGATAAGTAGAGTAGCTATCACAATGAACAGCATGTTGAATTTTAGGAGCTATACAGCTTATTTTAGTTTTATGATTCTGCAAAACTTAAGAATGTAAAACGATCCAGTTGCTCTTTGGAATGTCATCTTTGACTGAATGTAAGTAATTCATGCTGAGAAGTACTACTCAATTATCAATTTTTCCCTTTGCCTGCTCTGGCATCAGCAGAGATTTTTACCCATAAGATAATTGCTCAGGTTTAATGTTGCATAAGGAATAAATTGCCTATATCTTTTAGGCCTTTATTAGTTAAAGAACTGAAGACAAGGCAAAATGTGTGTGTGGAATTCTTATATTGCAAATGTATTTTGTCGAATGTATCATCATCAGTGTACATGTTTCTAATTTCAATTGCATTGAGTAAAGAAGTACAGTGAGAAGTCTTTTTTCTTCAGTTACACAGCTGATTTAAATCAAAGGAGTACTAATTCCTATAATACATCTTTGTATATAATCCTATATATTTTGTAGCAGAACATCATGTTACTGTAGTTTTTGCCTATCAGGCAAACATGCCTATTCCTCTGTAAATAAGTATTTTCTGCTATGAAATCTTAAACATAGTACATGGCCATCTTGGAAATTATTTTTTATTTTCTTTGGAACTACGTTATGACAGATGTTAAAGTACAGATATGTGCTAGCACAAGCTATACCCTTCACTCAAAAAGCAGTTAAGTTGTTTCATTACAAACAATACAATAAAGAATTAATTGAAAACCAGTGAAATTGGAATCAACCAATTTTAAAATTCAGATTTCATGGATCTTGCTGGAATTCATTCTTCTGTACAATAATTTACTCCATTTTATTTTTTTTTGACTGAACTCCAAAGAGACACAAAGAAAACAGGAGAAATGTATAAAGAATAGCAGCAAAGCACAATTTTAGTTAAGAAGGTAAATGCCCTCTGTCGTTCAAAAATGATATGGCAGGTTTTTTTCAAATGATTAGCAACTGTTGCTATGTACTAAACTGAAAAGTATGGCTTCCTGAAATTTTGCACAGTTTCACTATATCCATTAACCTACTCCACTATTTCATAAAATGCGGGTCTAAGATGCTTAGGAGTTTGTCAAGACTGTGAAATTGAAATTATTTGCCAGAATTTAAATTCTACGAAACTACTATATTAAAAACCATCAAACAATGTCAATTTTAATATGATAGATATTGATAATATAACCCATATAAAGCAAAAGTTTGTTGGAGGCCCTTCGTCATTTTTAAAGTGGGAAGGTTCGGAGTGAACAAAAGATTAAGAAATACTGATCTAACTTGTCAAGGCTGCACTCAGCTCTTTTGTCAAAGGAATTCCTACGCTTGAGAGTGAATTCAGAAAATAAACCAATTTGGTACCCTATGCATAACAGGAGCATCAGTCTTCTCCTGTGAGATCCAGGCTAAAATAGGAATCTGTCTAGAGCTGTCTCGTTTCAAACTTGGCAACTTTAGGATGGGTGGACTTCAACTCCCAGAATTCCCTAGCTAGCATAGTATTGAATTATGCTGGCTGGAGAATTCTGGGAGTTGAAGTTTACCTATCTTAACGTTTGAAAAACACTGTTCTAGCGTTCTTTAAGGCAAGGCCAGAGGAGGCCTCTTTGCTCCCCCTCAATTACCACTCTTAACCACATCAAGAGATGCTGGGAGTTGTTTCAACTATGTCTAAGATCCAAGACCCTGAAGAAAAGGTAGGTAGGTGGAAATGAACGGACTGGTCTTGCCCTTCAGCCTTTCCCCACTCCTTCCCAAACGAAACCCGTGTTTACGGTGTTCACGGGAAGCCTTCCTCCCTCTCCGCGGGCATCCTCTAATTCAGGGGTAGTCAACCTTGGCTCTTTTATGACTCGTGGACTTCAACTCCCAGAATTCCTGAGCCAGCACAGCTGGCTCAGGAATTCTGGGAGTTGAAGTCCACGAGTCATAAAAGAGCCAAGGTTGACTACCCCTGCTCTAATTGTTCCCATTGATATCCCCCCAACCCCGAATCTTTCCCGCTCTCCCCAAATCCTCTGCATCCCACCCCTTTTCCTTTCTCGTTCCTCGGACGGTTACCTGTTTCAATGAAAGCCGAGCGCCCCCCCCCCACTGCTTCCCAACAGTCGGTCAAGCGATGCTGCGAGGCGAGCGTCCACCCGCCGTCAGTAGCCAATTAACGCGCGCGCTTGCACCTGGCGGATTCCCTCTAGGCATGAGATTCAGTACCTGAAGAGCATGCGTGGAAACCCCCGCCCCAGCCAGGAAACCCTCCATAGGAGCAGGGGGGAGTGGCGTCGTTGGACGGTCACTATGGCGACGCCGGGAAAGAAACCTTTCCTCCCGTTTAAAAACACTGGAAGGGCGTGAGATACAGAAGGAATCGGTTTAATATTTTACTCAGCTTGCATATTCTTTTCTGTTTTTCCTTCCACGGAAAGCAGCTTAGCAAAGGAACAGAACAAGAAAAAAATGGCTCAGAGCAAATTAAGTCGTTCAGCAGAAAAAAAAAACATAACTTGGAGGAGGGGCCTTGTTGTCCTTAGTACGTCCAAGAAAGATAACCAGGTTTCATATAAATGTAATGCAAAGCAGGTGGAAAATTAGATTCAGAATTCTTCCATCTGCTTATTGAAAAAGTATGATATAGTATCAGACCCGATTTCCTTCAACGGGTATTCTCTGTCAGCCTATCTCTTAGGACGATGAGACTGATTGTCCATCTGAAACTAAAGTATGTAAATATTTAAAGCTTCAATAAAGTTAAAAACAAGGCAGGAGACAGTTATAATTGGAAAAAAAACCCATAAAAATCAAGCCAAATGTCTGTAAAGGGATTCTCACTTTTAAAATCCTTGTCGTTTTAGCCTTCATTTTCCAAGAAATCAAAGATTTTTAATATGTACACATATTAAACTGATATGTTACTTTTTCTGTACTTTGCATAACATTGTTTCCCCAACACTGGAACACTGTGGGGCGGGAAGTGAGTATTGAGCATACAATATTTGTAACCAGTCAACAAGAAGCCTAAAAATAAATGATTGGGCATCTATTAGTGAGCTTAATGCTTAAAGCTGGAATATCTGAGCTGTTGTTTTATGATCCATGCCTGAACTACTTCATTCCTCCAAACCTTCCCTATTTCATTCCAAACCAAACACAATTTGGTAATTTTAATTAGACAGTACCATTACCCACCAACATGTAGGTTTAACTCTAATCAAATTTTGCTCCTAAACAGAGTCAACAAAATGTTTGAATAAAATTTTATTGTAAGAACCAAAATCTTTGTTTAAATAAAATTAACACAGAATGGATATGAATTCAGATCAATTAGATGTATCTTCTGTTCTCTTCATCGGGCATCAAATACAACTACTATGACACAGTTAAAGAAATGATTGGAAAGTATAAAAATGGCAACTGTAATAAAAATTAGACAAATAATTTTATAATTTGCAATGTATAAATAAAAGAGCGCAGTTGTCCCTTAGCTGATCTTTTGTCACATGTATATTTTCTCGTAGCTCACAAATTTATTCCTAACTGGAGGCCTATACATGAATTCTATTATCTTACTTATAATCCTTCCTATTGCTGTTCTTCACTAACAGATAAAACTGGCAAATAATCAAGATTTTCTAAATCAGATCTAAAAACTATTAAACTGATTCTGCCCATGCAACCCATCTCGAAAGTGTTTCTGAAAGGACTTGGATGAGACAGTGGCTCAATGCTGTGGAATCTGATTCCCCTGGAAGTATAAGTAGAAACTTCCTTCTTTACATTCTACAAAATAGTTAAAATATTTTTATTCTATTACATTTTTGAACAAAGCAATTGTAGAGGTCCATTGTGTATGCATCTATATATTGTTCTAATCTGTTGATTCTATTTTTTTTACCTTATTTAATACCAGCCAAAATCTCACAACTGTGATATCTACCATTATTATGAATAAATAAAAGCCCAGGTCAACATCTATTAGTATTTTCAGGCATTGCAATGAGGAAAAATGGGTGTGCTATGTGTAAAAATTCCCTACCCACACTGTTTTGAATGTACTCCTTAGATGGCTGGAAGCCTGAAGAGAAATTGATTTAAAAATGTTATAAAAGGAAACATTAAACTGGGACAGCAAATGCTGGCACAAGTTAAGTGTGACAGAGGCTGCTTTCAATACTCACACTTACAATGTCACTTGAGAAAATAGGTTACAAAGTATTATGTTATATACTTTGAGCTGTGTGCTTCTAAAGTACTTTTAGTACTTCTAAATCAGATCCAATATTTGCATATTTAACAGTGTGGGATTCTATTTTATAGATCTTAAGGAGCTTTTAATACTGTCCCAATTTTACAGTACACTTCATCTCTTCTAAGTAATATACAGGTAATCCTTGACTTACAACAGTTCATTTAGTGACTGTTCAAAGTTATAGTGGCACCGAAAAAAATGATTTATGATTGTTTTTCACACTCATGACCACGGCAGCAACTCATGATCACATAATCAAAATCTGGATGCTTAGCAACTGACTTATATTTATTAGGGTTACAGTGTTTATGTTATCTTTTGTAAATTTCTGTGAAGCAAAGTCAAAGGGGAAGCCACATTCACTTAACAACTGTTAATAACCTAGCAATTGTAGTGATTCATTTAACAACTGTGGCAAGAAAGGTCGTAAAATGGGGCAAAACTCACTTAACTTTTAGCAACAGAAACCTTGGGCTCAATAGTAGTCATAAGTTGAGGACTACCTGTATGAAATAAAACAGACTTGTTGGCAAATCACTGTGTAAGCAGAAAATGACCTCACAGAATTAGAGAGATACTAGAAGAGATAAAACACAAGTTAAGATGCTCAAGTTTAAGGATACATCTTTTTGTTCTTTTCTTATACATTATTCTGTAACCACACTCTCTGCATCTGATAGGGTCTCTTGCTTTTATCTCATTTTCTTTGTGGCAATCTGAAAATAATGACAATAAGGGTTAAGAGATAAAATGAAACATGAAACCAAACTAAGCATTAAGACATAAAAATAAAACACAGATTTTATTGGAAACAAGTAAATTTTGCTAACAAACTTTCTGACTATTCTTCAATGATATATGATTAAAACTTCAAGAACTTTTCCCCCTAGTAAAAAAAATACTATTAGATTATGAATGGCATCTCATATTCCTTTTCACAGAGTAATTACAGGGAGGAAGCAAATCCATAGTAGCTATAATATTCTTCTTTCCTCCTTTTTTAGAATGCAGAAAAACAGCATTAACATGGAAACTCCAGAAGATAAAACTACAGTGATTTTTAACTAACATACATTCTATTGAAATCTATAACACTCTTAGGGTTCATGTTTTTTTTTAAAAAAAAAATCAGGACTCAAACTAATATGAACACTTTTAACAAGAAAGTCTTGTTAATAATCCCTTCCCAAACCCTATCCCTTTAACATCTTTATTCCCTGTGTGTTATAGCATTACTTACCTGCGCAGATGTATATCATAGGTTGCTGCTTTGGAGGGGGAGCATCTTCTTCAGTTTCCATATTCTGTTATAAAAGAAAGCCATAATTTTCCTCCATGAATCGATTTCAATTGAGCCAATTAAAAATAAAATGATACAAAAGAGCTCGTTAAGGTACCCGGAAACAATACAAATGCAAATTAGCCCATCCCATGACTTACCGGTCGTGGCTTGATCTATGAGGTTTTACTCCGAGCGTCACAAGGAAATGCGAATTGAGGAAAAATATCGGGAAGGGGCAAAAAAAAATTGCAGTAAGTCTGTTCAAACGAACTGGATTCTTCAAAATAAACCGATTACGACGGCCTTTCTCTTATAGGACGTATCCCACACGCCCTACTCGGTGGCGCACGTTGATGACGTAATCAAAACTCCGTCGCCTTTACGGAAAAGCGATGCAGAGCTTCAGCGATTGTATAACGTTTTATGAATGTACATATATTATTAGTTTGGTTTAGTAAACGAGGGCGGGGAGAGATTTCTCTTTTTCAATCTACAATGAAAACAAGGACTGGAAAGGACTTTAGGAAGCTGGAAGATTCAGAACATATTTAGAACCGCTTCTAATATCAACACTATATCTGAATAGCATTTATAACTACAGTACAGGTTGGTTTCAAAAGAAATGATCTAAAGATCTGTAAAATGCTTTTTCTTATTGCTAAATAAAAAATCTAGTATTATGGACAAGATTTCACCATGCCACAGCACTGGACTATGAGCACATTCATTGAAGTCAATGGGACAAACTCATAAGTACTTTTAATACTGTGACTAAATTCACATATTAAAAACTGCTTTGATTAACCAAAGTTTATTAAAAAAATAGTTGGCCACAGTTTACAAACCACAATGACTAGGTTCACGCTATATAACCCAAACCAAGCAAATCCTGTAATGTGGAACTTGTGTCTCCATTGTTACAACGAAAATTCATTCTTTTTCAGATTAATATACAGCCCTCCCTAATGCTGTACAAGCTCTGAAGAATAACACAAACATGTTTAGTAAATATCTAGTCCTTGACTTCATAGTGCCTAAAATCCATCTACCATTCAGAGTAATAAGCATTCTATACATAGAGGAAAGTGTTCTTAGGGGTATTTTCACATGACTTAATGAACTTTAGCAAACTACATTTTAGCTTAGCATGTTAGCAAAACTAGGCTTGTTCATTTATAGTTCAATAAGATCTTTACATTCAGAAAAATGGGTGAATACACTGAGTCAGCGGACTACAGTTAAGCATATGGTGCGCATACTAATGCATACTACTTTTACAAACAGTTTGTACAATTAGTCAATATAGTATTCATTCCCAGCTCTAAACTGGGAGAAGAGAGACCGTACGGGGCTTATCTTAAGTGTCTTAAAGAAAAGCTGTGTGACAAGACTTTTCATTCTCGTATCATTTTAACACTGTGAATTCTTTTGGAACATTGTGAAACGAGAGCTTTTCAATACAGAGTGAATGAGAATTCCAATCGACTTCACTGTGAATTGCGATGGCGAGGAGCAGGGACTCCGCTTCGGTACGAAACATATACAGATTTTTATACACAGTGTAAAAAAAAAAAAACCCCAGAAAACGTCCTAACGGCAGCGGCTAAATAATGCATCCAGCGAAGCCCGAAGCAAAAGTACGGTAGACTGGGCAGAGATGGAGAGAGAATGAAGACAGGGATGAAACCTGTCCAAAGGAAGCCAGCCTTCCTGCTGATTTAACCGCCCTTCGCAAAAAAACAAACAAACAAAAAACAAAAAAAAACACCTCGCAGCAGCTGCCTTGTTTTTGCTCAGCCGCTCAACCAGCCTCGGGCAGCTGCAGCGTCGCGCCCGCTCTTCCTCCGCCCTTTTGCTGAAGCGCGACGCTCGTGCGCCTGGGCTTCTTCCAGCCTCCCCTCCTTGGAGCTAGCGGGGCGGGGGAGCTGCAACAGTTAGGAAAGGCGGGTACTTCAAACCCGAGCGAGGGAAACCTCAGCTGGCGCACGCGGGCGGGCGGGCGGGCAGCCAGCGGCTCCTTCCTTCAGCTGTCCCAGGCGGAGGCGAGGCAACAGAGACAAGCTCTTTCTGTCAGCGCGCTCCTGTAAAATCTCTGGGGTGGCGCTCGCGTGGCTTCCCCGTCTCACCGGCTCCCCGTTCGTCACCGTCCTCCCCTCCGCTCCTCGGGCTTTCCTCGCCCGCCTTGACCGGAGGAGGATTGGAGAGCTCTCTTGCCCCTCACTCCCGGGGAACGAACCCCGCGTCTCTTTCTGTCCCGGCTCTTCTGATCCCACAGGAAATGGCAAGAGTATAACCCCCTCACCTCGGGTGCAAAGCGGGTGGTTGAACACACCTGGGCGTGAATTACATTTACCTCCCGTTAAGGGCTTTAGCATATTGCTGAGGGATACACTGGGGAAGAGGTAGGGGTTCCCCCCCCCCCGCTCTTGCCTTTCATCTCTCCTCCTCCATTTCGAATTAAATATGCAGAAAACTTCACCTGAAGCAACTTTTGCCTTTCAGACTGACTAGGTAAGTGAGGTCGTGGCCTGGTCTGGTGGAGGAAATTTCACACAGCCAACACTCAAGACATTAGTAAGGGATGAAATTGACTTTATACAGGGGGAGGAGAAATGTTTGGAGTAGTTTAGGTTGCAGGGCTCTACACACTAATTTGGAAGTAGAGGAGAAAAAAATAAGGGTCTTGCTTCTGAGTAGACACGCCTAAGATGGCTGCTGTTAATATATCTGAGGTAAAATGTTGCAGGTGAACATAAGTACATCTGTGTTAGAAATATTCCTCATTCAATGCCTTGATGAAAAATCCAGTGCAGGCAAAATATGTCAATATTTAACTTGTCTTAAATATATTCCAAAACTTCTACACAGAGTTGTAGGGGGCCACATATTTTCGATAGTGTATGCCCTTCCCTGCTAAACTTTATTACTGGTAACTGTTCATTTCAAAGTAGAGCAGAAGTAGAATATTAATTCTCACCATTTTCTAAGCAATTGAAAAAGATCAAAGATGTCGCAGTTCTCCCTTCACGATGATCATTTTTTGTGTCCTAATAAGAGTCAAATATATGCTGCTTTTGAACATGGCGGTTCCATTTTTAGTTACATATTCCAAGTAATAGCTACAGCCTGCATCTATAAGTCTACACCTTAGTTCCGCCAGGGAAAAGTTGTTTAAGGCTGTCAAATCTGTTTTTCCATATTTTTAAATACACTACTGGATGAAATTGTGATTTAGCTGTTGCTTTTCTGCAACACCGCTCCCCCCCCCCCCCCACTGCCCTTGGATCAATTCATACTCAAGACTTCACTGGAAAAACAATATAAACTGGAGGAAGAGAATCAGGGAAGAGGAATGTAGAAGAAAAATAGTATTTTCTAATAATGTAATTGAGCATAAGTAAACAAAGAATCTTCAAGTATCTGATAACTTGTGAAAGTGATCATAGTACTAACCGTAACAAATAATACTAGGGCAACACACTTTTTAAGACATTTTTATTTACTTGGCAGCAAGCTCAAAAAGCTTTGTTAGATGACAGGTTAATTTTTTTACTAGAAATATTTTTCTATAATATAAATCATAAATGAGTTTTAGAAAATGTTTGCCATGCTGTTTCAGTAATCCTCACTGAAACTAACAAAATTGCCTTTCTTTCCAAGAAAGACTGTCATATAATTTTAGTTTTTTCAATTGATTCTTGAATAGTGATGTTAATGTACTTCGACAAAGATACTGTAATTAAGATTTTTTTTGAGAACTAAAAATTAACACATTAATTATAGCATAAACTTTAGGAGAGACAGTTTGGTGTTGTGATTAAGGCATAAGTCTAGAAATTTTAGTCCTGTCTCAGGCACAAAGTTGATTGGGTGACCTTGGGTCAGTCACTCACTCTCGGCCCTAGGAAGCAGGCAATGGCAACCACTTCCAAAAAAGCTTGCCAAGAAAACTGCAGGATCTAGTCCACACAATTGCCAGGAATAAAAAAAAAAACTGATTTGAAGCTAACCCCCTCCCAAAAGCTTTAGGAAGTACACATATGCACATAAATAAATCATACTAAGTTGAAAGGGAGTTATTCTCAGGTAAGCAACATTAGGATCACATCATTTATTATGCTTTCCTTAATATATTTACAACTATTCCAGTAGCAGTTATTAAAGCAGCAAGGGTAGGAAGTCTCTGGATTCAGTGAGATTTGAAACTGAGTAGACATGTATAAACTTGCATACTTCAATCCTTAGCATATATATTTAAAATAGCATGTTTTTGTACTACATGCAAAATATAAATTAAATAAACTTGCTAGAAGATGTCATCAAGTAGTGTTATCTAATGTCCTGCCTCAATTTTTAAGGTCTTTACTATACACTGATTTAACAGACCTGAAGTATTTGTTAGCTCTTTAACTAGACAGTAATAACATTGATATATTGAAGCTTCTTACATAGTCAAATGACAAATATTTTTTTAAATGAACAAATCCCTCCTGAAATATAACTGGAAAGCAGTGCAGGATTTTAGAAGACTTTTTTTTAAGATAACAAAGTCATAGGCTTGGAAAAGACCTTTAAAGTCTTCTAGTTCAACACTGTTAGATTGTGAACTAATTCTGATTATAAGGTTCCGTGCTTTGTTCTGTATAATCTACAATTTCAAGCAGTCTAAAGAGTTTAATATTTACAGCTGGTGTAAATGTGTTTGTTACATTTTGTAAATGTAAAATGTTTCTGTTCCTCAGCATTTTGGGTAATGCCTGCACAATTGTGGAATGTTTGTTTTACCTGCAGTCTCCTTGTGAACCCACCAGGGTAAGTACAGAATTTTTGAAGATCCATGTAGATCTCCATCCATGTGGAGATTGGCCAGAAACTAAACTCTTTGGTGATTCTGTCTGAATACTGTATTACAAACCACTTTGGCTGTATTACAAGCCAACATTTGAGAGACTGAAAATCTTGTTGGTTTAAAATCAACAGCTTACATAAACCAATTGCTAAATGAAATTTCTTGTTTTGAATTAACTATATTTCTGAAAACAAAAACATGGGTTTATAATTAAATAGTCCCCTCTTAGAATGGATGGATGGATTTAGAGAGAGAGATTGGTGCTACAAAGTTAACATACAATCTGAGAATTTGGAAGGGACCTCAAAGGTAATCCAGTCCTGTTTTTGAAGTAGGGTCTGTCTATCCAGCCTTTGTTTGAAGACCACCTTTGAAAGCAATATATCACTTGAGGCAACCTATTCCACTGGCTAAAAGTTCCTGTTGTTAAGCAATGCCTCTTAATATCAAACCTAATTCTTTTCTATAATTTATTCTAGTTCTGTTCTCCAAGGCAAAAGAGAAC